TTCCCATGGGCAGTTGCGCTACAGAGGCACTACCAGGGTCTTCCCCTTCTGGGAGACCTATAGCTAGCTTGGTCGTGGTGCCGTACATATGACATACGTCCAGCAATCCCTTACTTGTCTGTGATTGGAGGACTAAAATGTAATTCCACCAAATTACAGTCAATAGGAAAACAGAAACATTTTCCAAAATTTGGCAAAATTTTCCAAAATTTAGCAAAAATTTTCAGAAATTTTCAGAAAATTTCCAAAAATTTTCCAAAATTTTCCAAAAATTTTCAGAAATTTTCAGAACTTTTCAGAAAATTTTCCAAAAATTTCCGAAATTTTTCCAAAAATTTCCAAAAATTTTCCCAAATTTTCCACAAATTTTCCAAAATTTTCCAAAAAATTACAGAAATTTTCAGAAATTTTTCCAAAATTTTCCAAAAATTTTCCAAAATATTCCAAAAAATTTCCGAAATTTTCAGAAAATTTTGGAAATGTGGGGAAATTTTGAAAATCTGGGAAATTTTTGGAATTGGGGTTTCTTAAAAATTAGTGAATTTTTTGAAAATCTAGGAATTTTTGAGAAATCTGGAAAATTCCAAAAATTTTCCAATAATTTCAACAAATTTTCCCAAAATTTAAAAATTTCAGATTTTCCAAAGTTTCAGATTTTCCAAAAATTTCAGATTTTTCAGAAATTTCAGATTTTTCAGAAATTTGATTCTCCAAAATTTCCCACATTTTCCAAAGTTTGGAAATTTTTGGAATTTAATAGAAAATTAGAAAATTTAGGAAATTTTCGAGAAATTTAGACATCTTGAAAATTTTGGAAAATTTCGAAATTTTGAAAATTCTTAAAACTTTTGAAATTTTGGAAAATTGAATTTTTGGAAAATTTTCTAAAATTTTTCCAAAATTTTCCGAAAATTTTCCAGAAATTTTTGGAAAATGTCCAAAAATTTTCCCAAATTTTCCGAAATTTTTCGAAAATTTTCCCCGAAATTTCCAAAAATTTTCCCAAATTTTCCGAAATTTTTCCAAAAATTTTCAAAAATTTTCAGAAAAATTTCCAAAATTTTCCAAAATTTTTCCAAAATTTTCCAAAATTTTTCCAAAAATTTCCAAAATTTTCCAAAAATTTTCAGAAATTTTCCAAAAATTTTCTGAAATTTTCAGAAAATTTTCAGAAATTTTCCGAAATTTTTCCAAAATTTTCCAAAATTTTCTAAAATTTTTCCAAAATTTTCCGAAAATTTTCCAGAAATTTTCAGAAAATGTCCAAAAATTTTCCCAAATTTTCCGAAATTTTTCGAAAATTTTCCCCGAAATTTCCAAAAATTTTCCCAAATTTTCCCAAATTTTTCCAAAATTTTCCGAAATTTTTCCAAAATTTTCGAAATTTTTCCAAAAATTTTTCGAAATTTTTCCAAAATTTTCTGAAATTTTCCAAAATTTTCCGAAATTTTTCCAAAATTTTCTAAAAATTTTCCATAATTTTCCAAAAATTTTCTGAAATTTTCAGAAAATTTTCCAAAATTTTCCGAAATTTTTCCAAAATTTTCCGATATTTTTCCAAATTTTTCCAAAATTTTCCAAAAAATTTTCGAAAATTTTCCAAAAATTTTCCCAATTTTTCCAAAATTTTCCACAAATTTTCAGAAATTTTCGAAAAAATTTCAGAAATTTTCAGAAAAATTTCCAAAATTTTCCGAAATTTTTCCAAAATTTTCTAAAAATTTTCAGAAATTTCCCAAAAATTTTCATAAATTTTTAGAAAATTTTCCAAAATTTTCCAAAATTTTTCGAAAATTTCCCAAAAATTTTCAGAAATTTTCCAAAAATTTTCAGAAATTTTCAGAAAATTTTCCAAAATTTTCCGAAATTTTTCCAAAATTTCCGAAATTTTTCCAAAATTTTCCGAAATTTTTCCAGAAATTTTCACAAAATGTCCAAAAATTTTCCCAAAATTTTCGAAATTTTTCCAAAATTTTCCCCGAAATTTCCAAAAATTTTCCCAAATTTTCCAAAAATCTTCCCAAATTTTCCGAAATTTTTCCAAAATTTTCCGAAATTTTTCCAAAATTTTCCAAAATTTTCCAAAAATTTTTCGAAATTTTTCCAAAATTTTCCGAAATTTTCCAAAATTTTCCGAAATTTTTCCAAAATTTTCTAAAAATTTTCAGAAATTTCCCAAAAATTTTCATAAATTTTTAGAAAATTTTCCAAAATTTTCCAAAATTTTTCGAAAATTTCCCAAAAATTTTCCAAAATTTTCCAAAAATTTTCAGAAATTTTCAGAAAAATTTCCAAAATTTTTCCAAAATTTTCCAAAATTTTCCAAAAATTTTCAGAAATTTTCCAAAAATTTTCAGAAATTTTCAGAAAATTTTCCAAAATTTTCCGAAATTTTTCCAAAATTTCCGAAATTTTGGAAAAATTTTCCGAAATTTTTCCAGAAATTTTCACAAAATGTCCAAAAATTTTCCCAAATTTTCCGAAATTTTTCCAAAATTTTCCCCGAAATTTCCAAAAATTTTCCCAAATTTTCCAAATATCTTCCCAAATTTTCCGAAATTTTTCCAAAATTTTCCGAAATTTTCCAAAATTTTCCGAAATTTTTCCAAAATTTTCCAAAATTTTTCCAAAATTTTCCAAAATTTTTCCAAAATTTTCCATAATTTCCAAAAATTTTCTGAAATTTTCAGAAAATTTTCCAAAATTATCCGAAATTTTTCCAAAATTTTCCAAAAAATTTTCGAAAATTTTCCAAAAATTTTCCCAATTTATCCAAAATTTTCCGAAATTTTTCCAAAATTTTCCACAAATTTTCAGAAATTTTCGAAAAATTTTCTGAATTTTTCAGAAAATTTTCCAAAATTTTCCGAAATTTTTCCAAAATTTTCCGAAATTTTTCCAAAATTTTCTAAAAATTTTCCATAATTTTCCAACAATTGTCTGAATTTTTCAGAAAAATTTCCAAAATTTTCCGAAATTTTTCCAAATTTTTCCAAAATTTTCCAAAATTTTCCAAAAATTTTCCCAATTTTTCCAAAAATCTTCCCAAATTTTCCGAAATTTTTCCAAAATTTTCTAAAAATTTTCAGAAATTTTCCAAAAATTTTCATAAATTTTCAGATAATTTTCCAAAATTTTTCCAAAATTTCCGAAATTTTTCCAAAATTTTCCGAAATTTTTCCAGAAATTTTCAGAAAATGTCCAAAAATTTTCCCAAATGTTCCCAAATTTTTCCAAAATTTTCCCCGAAATTTCCAAAAATTTTCCCTAATTTTCCAAAAATCTTCCCAAATTTTCCGAAATTTTTCCAAAATTTTCCGAAATTTTTCCAAAATTTTCCAAAATTTTCCAAAAATTTTTCGAAATTTTTCCAAAATTTTCCGAAATTTTCCAAAATTTTCCGAAATTTTTCCAAAATTTTCCGAAATTTTTCCAAAATTTTCTAAAAATTTTCAGAAATTTCCCAAAAATTTTCATAAATTTTTAGAAAATATTCCAAAATTTTCCAAAATTTTTCGAAAATTTCCCAAAAAATTTCCAAAATTTTCCAAAAATTTTCAGAAATTTTCCGAAATTTTCCAAAATTTTCCGAAAATTTTCCAAAATTTTCTAAAAATTTTCCATAATTTTCCAAACATTTTCTGAAATTTTCAGAAAATTTTCCAAAATTTTCCGAAATTTTTCCAAAATTTTCCAAAAATTTTCCATAATTTTCCAAAAATTTTCCATAATTTTCCAAAAATTTTCTGAAATTTTCAGAAAATTTTCCGAAATTTTTTCAGAATTTTCCAGAAATTTTCAGAAAATGTCCAAAAATTTTCCTAAATTTTCCGAAAATTTTCCCAAATTTTTCGAAATTTTTCCAAAATTTTCCAAAATTTTCTGAAATTTTCAGAAAATTTTCTAAAATTTTCCGAAATTTTTTCAAAATTTTCCAAAATTTTCCAAAATTTTTCAAAAATTTTCCAAAATTTTCGAAAAATTTTCTGAATTTTTCAGAAAATTTTCCAAAATTTTCCGAAATTTTTCCAAAATTTTCCGAAATTTTTCCAAAATTTTCTAAAAATTTTCCATAATTTTCCAACAATTTTTTGAATTTTTCAGAAAATTTTCCAAAATTTTCCGAAATTTTTCCAAATTTTTCCAAAATTTTCCAAAATTTTCCAAAAATTTTCCCAATTTTTCCAAAAATCTTCCCAAATTTTCCGAAATTTTTCCAAAATTTTCTAAAAATTTTCAGAAATTTTCCAAAAATTTTCATAAATTTTCAGAAAATTTTCCAATATTTTTCCAAAATTTCCGAAATTTTTCCAAAATTTTCCGAAATTTTTCCAGAAATTTTCAGAAAATGTCCAAAAATTTTCCCAAATTTTCCCAAATTTTTCCAAAATTTTCCCCGAAATTTCCAAAAATTTTCCCAAATTTTCCAAAAATCTTCCCAAATTTTCCGAAATTTTTCCAAAATTTTCCGAAATATATCCAAAATTTTCCAAAAATTTCCGAAAATGGCCCAAAAATTTTCGGAAATTTTTGGAAAAATTTTGGAAAATTTCTGAAATTTTTTGGAAAATTTGGGAAAATTTTTGTAAAATTTTGGAGAATTTTTGGAAAATTTCTGAAAATTTTTGTAAAATTTTTTAAAATTTTCGGAAATTTCTGAGAAAATTTTGGAAAATTTTCGGAAAATTTGGTTAAATTTTTGGAAAAATTTCGGAAAATTTTTGGAAATTTTTTGGAAAATTTGGGGAATTTTTGGAAAATTTTGGAAAATTTTCGGGAAAATTTCGGAAATTTTCCAAAAATTTTGGTAAATTTTGGAAAAATTTCGGAAAATTTGTGAAAATTTTTGGAAAAATTTGCAAAAATCTGGGGAAATTTTTGGAAAATCTGGGGAAATTTCTGAAAAATCTAGGGAAATTTCTGGAAAATCTGGGGAAATTTTTGGAAAATACTAGGGAAATTTTTGGAAAATCTGGGGAAATTTTTAAAATTTTGGGAAAATTTGTTGATATTTTCGGAAAATTTTTGGAAATTTCCCCAGATTTTCCAAAAAATTCCCTAGATTTTCCAAAAATTTCCCCAGATTTTTCAGAAATTTCCCCAGATTCTCCAAAAATTTCCCCAGATTTTCCAAAAATTTCCCCAGATTTTCCAAAAAATTTTGGATTTTTGTTTAAATTTTTTCGAAAATTTTGGAAAATTTTGGGAAATTTGGAAATTTTTGGGAAATTTTGGAAATTTTTTGAAAAATTGTGTAAAATTTTTGGAAAATTTCTGAAAATTTTTGGGCAATTTTCGGAAATTTTTGGAAAATTTTCGAAAATTTTTGGAAAAATTTCGGAAATTTTTGGAAATTTTTTGGAGAATTTGGGGAATTTTTGAAAAAAATTGGGAAATTTTTGGAAAATTTTGTAAAATTTTTGAAAAATTGTGTAAAATTATTGAAAAATTGTGTAAAATTTTTGGAAATTTCTGAACATTTTTGGGCAATTTTCGGAAATTTTCCAAAATTTAATCAAACTTTTTCCGAAAATTTTCCAAAAATTTCCGAAATTTTAAAATTTTCCTTAATTACTTTTTTAAAATTTCCGAAATTAAAAAACAAAATCCGAAATTTTCCAAAAATTTCAGAGAATTTTCCACACATTTTGGGGTTAGGAAACACGACAATAAGTAGGATGACCTTTAGCAAAGTTTTACATGGATTTTGCATTTTTTGAATATGCGTAATTTTGTATTCACGAGCAAGTCACAAACCGGACTGTTCTCGTTTTGCAAGACTTGTAGCCATGACTAGTAGCTCTTTTGTGCGTGGCAAGCCTCTGTGAACTTCATCTGGCGGGTCTAGGACAACTGGCCGCCATATGGAACTTTTTGTTGACAACCTAACCTAACCTAACCTAACCTTACCTTTGAGAGCGCAAAAATAGGCGTTTGCAGTTTACCCCCAGTCCGCGGCGGCCAGTTGGGCTGCGGCCAGATGGCGGCGGCCAGTTGTCCCATTCCCTCATCTGGCGCAAGTCTTCATTCCGTGTTATACAAGAAGTGTGGCCTGGGGATCACTACTGTGTGTCCACTTCATCAGCAGTATTGGTTTTGCTTTACTATCAGCAAATTTACACTGCCATATTTTATCCTTTCTGCATCAGATTCCCTGGATGTGATAAGTCACCTAAGAGGACCATTTTTTCCACCAGGTTTAACAGATGCTCAGAATTCTCATGAAGTATTTGATGAATTGTCTTGACACACAGTAGACAGGCCACTTACTATGTTTTACTGCATTAAATATAAATGTTCGTACCATAAATTGGTGTTTTAATTACCCCCTTTATAATTTACTGTTGGTAAACTGAGATGCCAAAAACTGGTTTACCAAGGGATTAGTCTTGGGTGTCACGGGTAACCAAATTAGATTCAAATACTGAATTAGATTTATTTGAAAATACAATACTGTATATATAGATCTAATAATAAACAAAGTGTAAACAAGTTTCTAAAGAACAATTTAAATACATGTACTGTATTCTGCAAAGCTACGCAAGTGATGAATACTACAGTACAATACTGTAATATTGTTAGCTCGGCAAACCAGGACTGAAAAGAATGGTACGTATTTAATATTACAGTATCCTCTATGTTAATGGTGGAAGAGCCGGATATTTGAATGTACAAGAACCATGTCGTGCTCATCACAGGCATCCACCACCAGGCTGTCGTTGGTAGACCCTGCTGGACTTACGATGAAATCAATATACTGCCAGATCTGGGGTCACTAAATCTACGGGGATAACTTAACTCTAATCTTAATTTCTAAGGGTCGCTGCCACCAGAACCCCTCTGGACAGCATGTAGCTCGTTAGGTAGCGGGCAGAGTGGACTAGGCATTGGGTTAGGTTTTCCATTGACCAGATCGATAAGGGTAAAGAAGGGTGAAACCATAACATGTCTTAATTGGTTTATTTCTTACAAAACACACTGGAAAAAAAACACATACAACCACACTGTGGACCATAATTCCAAGGCCTGTCCCAGGGTACAGCACTGGCGCCTCTAACAACTGTTGTTGTGGTCGGCTACACTCCGACCCGAGATGGGTTTGGGGTCCTCGGCCCACGAGGTAGAGTAGAGCCGATGAATCATGCCGAATCAGCGCCATCAATCCTATATTGACCACTGCTGGGTATCCACCGGCTCCGAGCGACCGGTGGGTTTCTATTAAGCCCACCCACGACCTGGAGACAAACGGGAATCAGCGTCCGGGGACCGAGAAACATGACAACACCAACAAACTCTCTTGTCTAGACGACAGACCCATTTACGTTACATTACTTCTACACTGGGTGAATGACAATTCAACTGTTAAATCATGAACACTGGTGAACACTGATAATCACTACAATTGACTGAATTAACTGAATGGCTAGGAAACACAGAACATACCTGGAGACAAACGGGAATCAGCGTCCGGGGACGCTCTACGATACGATACGAAGTCTTTAGTTAAGAGGTGAAAGAAGATTATTAGGGGTTGAAGGAAAAGTGGTGAAACTGAAATACAGTAGGAGTAGAAAGAATCTGGGCTCAACCAGATCGCTTCATCTTTCTTATTGGTGTTTTGTCTTTGTTCTGCTCCCTTGGGTCGTCAGACCTTTGTATTAATATTGGTTTATTTATATAATGCTGCTTATTATTATTATTTTCCCTTGACGCTTGAGTTTATATACCCCTGAGTTACCAGTGATCGCTACTCACACAATGACAATAATTACAAACAAACTAACTGTTACTCATTCAAAGATGACCCTCAGTTGACAAAGGTCTGGCGAATTACTTGGGTTGATTTAAACAGACTAATTCAAGGTTGCGTTGGCCAGTAGAGAGTGCAATAAACGTAGTGACAACTGTGTTCGAAGGCGGGGCTTACTGAGAGTGATCCTGAGGGTAAAACGCTCCTGAGATTCTACAAGCGCGGTGGATTTGAATATTATGTAGCGTAATATGAATTAAAACGGGTTTTTAGGAATGACAATGAGGTGCGCAGTACATCAACACCACTCTGAAAAGCATTAGAATTAATATAAATGGTAATCATAACTTCTAATGTAATTATGTGTTACAATCAATGTGTAAAATCAGGCATCTGTAAAATACCCATGAAAATGTTTTTTGTTTCCGGTTGTGTTTAGGTCAGATCAGGTTATTCAGCTGAGAAGTGCAAAATTTTCATTAAACTTCACATTTAGTTGAACCTAACCTATCAACATGTAATGGAATGTTTTTACAAGTATCTTACGTGTTGCTTCATTTGACAATGCCTACCATATATTCACTTAAATGCTGAAGTTGGTGTTAAATTTCAGACTAAATAATATACCAAACACTTAGCAATCACTTCCACAAGGTCCAAGAATCAATGTTTATTATATTGGAATGCAACTGCAAATTATTACCTTTGAATCAAGATACAGTATGTTAATTTAGATTTCTTAACTAGTTTATGCAGTACCAGTCTTTCATTTAAAATTTAAGCAAATGATTAAAAAAATTATTCTAGCTTGAACATGCAAAAGCTTAAGTTACATTTTTAACGCTAATGTAATTAAATATTTCTGCATACCTGTCTTGATCGGTCAACATTATCTCTGAATGGGAAGAAAGCATCTGAGGATAGTGCAATGCCATTCAGCTTCTTTATCCAGGACTCCTTTTCTTCCTCAGTCAATGGGGCTGGAATCTCCTCAAGTACCGCTGCAAACTGTGATTCCGGCATATCTTTGCCTAAGGGAGAGCATTTTGTCAGGTCTACCAAGTTGAAGCCCAAAATAAAATCACAACTTCAAACTCGAGGAGTTTTGAACTTCTCATCCATGCAGCTATGTTTGAAAAATAATACAACACGAGGAAATTCAAGCTTTGTTCTAAGAAGTACCTGTAGTTTGAAAAGCAGATTCCAGCTTCAACATTATTCACATCAAAATGTAAACTGTTATAAGGGTCAGTTTTGGTCACTCGGTGAAATTCAAACAAGTTCACACACCAACTTTCTTCTAAATCTAAAACCAAGGGGGCAAATCAGAGATGCTGTACTTACCCACAGTACCACAAACAAAGTTGTCAATGGCATTGGATTTCTCAGCTCGTTTCACTCCTTCTTTAAACTTCATGTTCAACACACGAGGATGATGCCGCAGCCACCTAAGAGACCCCACACATAATCACACTGGCATCTAAAAATTTATTCTTTCATTTACAGACTGCTAAACAAAGTAAGTCCTGCACAGTATAAGCTTATTCATAATATTACAATACATGTGCATGTTTTAACCTCCAAGGAGAGTTTTAAAAAATTTATAAAAAATTAATTTATAAATTATTAAAACCACTCAATTTATTGATTAAGATCTGGATCATCTGAAGATCAGGCACCCAACTTATTTCATCTAATTAATTGCAATGTTCCACATACAGTACAAGCCCAGTACAGTATTAGGACTAATTTCCCTCCAATGAGAACAACCACACTGGGTATTTTTAAATTGCATGCATGTTTTAACCTTCATAAAGCCTGTAAGGTGTCCCAGTACACCACCTCATGCTACCCACACCTCTATAGGGGTTTTCCGCCTTTGTCATCATGGAAGACAAACAATGATAACTCTGCCCGCCCCCCCCCCCTGCTCTTCCCTCGGCTAACTACAGTATAATTAAATTAATGCATAATTTTTATTCTTCAGCAGTACAATTAACAGCAGAAGTTTATCCCAAACCACTTACATTGTAGAAGGGCAGGTTATCTGGTAACACTGTATGGGAAGAAGAGTCGACATCCTTTAAATGGCTTGTTATTCAAGGATGATGATCAGAGAATGACCAAGAATGAATTTCTTGTGTGAAAATAATGTGGAGAAATATACAGTATGAAATTGCTGCAGGAAGATTAATAACTGGGGAACAAGATGTATTTGTATTGCTAATACCAACTAGTATTTATCAGGCTTAATGACATTTTCATTATGAAACAAGGGCATATTTCTCAATAACATTATTTTCACACTAATTAAGTACAGTAATACAGTATTCAAAATATGTAGTTTTTAGCAATCTCAGTTCATCAATCTTAAATAACTAGTCATCTAAAGCATAATTATCTTAACACCTTCCTCATACCATGCAGGTTGGTTGGGACGAACTTCTGCTGTCGAGCTGTAGTCACCCACAAAATTCCTTTCATCTCTCCAGCTGCTCCACAAAACTCGACATTCAGACTCCTGAACCCAAACTATACAGTACGTGCAACATTGTCCATAAATGCATAGGACTCACGAGTCTGAATTTCATGGTTCAGGAGAAGGGACAGGACTTGTGGGCGATTGTACACTTTACAGCGTATCTAATTTTACTTAAAAGTTTATATTTTACTTTATTAGGTAAGCAGGTTTTTCTTATGGTCACAGAAAGGGTCAAACGTTATGACACTACCTGGAGGGGTTAGGTCTGGTCAAGTTAGAATTAAAAGGTTTATTTATCAGGTGAAAAAACTGGGGTGCCTAGTCTTCTGGTAATCTCTCGACTTTATTCACCATTACCTTGATCAGCATAGTCTTCATCATAAGGAGTTCTGTTTAATTTTGCAAATGATGACCATCACCAGTTGTTACCCTACCAGCTTGCAAAGGTCCACTGATTGATCCGTTTATTTACCATATATTAGTAAACACTGGTAGATTAATACATTAAGAGCTTCTGCCTTTAGCATTTATATGAACACGAAAACTGATACCATGTGTTATGAAAAACTTTCAAATTTAGGGAAGATGAAAACTAGATAATTGCAAACAACCAAACCAGCACTTGTCAAGTCATCTTGGATCATAAAGTAGCTTGTGTAGAATTTCCAAAATTTTCCCAGAAATTTCCAAAAATTTTCGCAAATTTTCCAAAAATTCCCGAAATTTTTCCAAAGTTTTCCGAAATTTTTCCAAAATTTTCCAAAATTTTCCAAAAATTTTCAGAAAATTCCGAAATATTTCCAAAATTTTTGGAAATTTTTCGAAAATTTTCCAAAAATTTTCCCAAAATTTCCCAAATTTTCCCAACATTTTCCACAAATTTTCAGAAAATTTCAGAAAAATTTCCAAAAATTTCCGAAAATTTTCAAAAATTTTCCGAAATTTTTCCAAAAATTTAACCAAATTTTCCGAAAATTTTCAGAAAATTTCCCAAATTTTTCCGAAAATTTTCAAAAATTTTCCAAAAATTTCCGAGAATTTTACAAAATTTTCCGAAAATTTTCAGAAATTTTCCCAAAAATTTCCAAAAATTTCCGAAAAATTTCCGAAAATTTTCCAAAATTTTCCCAGAAATTTCCGAAAATTGTAAAAAATTATACAAAAATTTTCAGAAATTTTCCAAAAATTCTCCAAAATGTTTAGAAACTTTTCAAAAAATTTCCGAAATTTTTCCAAAATTTTCCGAAATTTCTCCAAAAATTTCCAAAAATTTTCCCCAATTTCCCAAAAAATTTCCGAAATTTTTCAAAAATTTTCCGAAATTTCTCCAAAATTTTCCAAAAATTTTCCCCAATTTCCTAAAAAATTTCCGAAATTTTTCCAAAAATTTAACCAAATTTTCCGAAATATTTCAGAAAATTTCCAAAAATTTTCCCAAATTTCCAAAAATTTTCCCAAATTTTCCCAAATTTTCCAAAAATTTTCCCAAATTTTCGAAAAAATTTAAACAAAAATCCAAAATTTTTTGGAAAATCGGGAAATTTTTGGAAAATCTGGGGAAATTTTTGGAAAATCTGGGGAAATTTCTGAAAAATCTAGGGAAATTTCTGGAAAATCTGGGGAAATTTTTGGAAAATCTAGGGAAATTTTGGGAAAATCTGGGGATATTTTTAAAATTTTTGGAAAATTTGTTGAAATTTTCGGAATATTTTTGGAAATTTCCCGATTTTCCCAAAAATTCCCTAGATTTTCCAAAAATTTCCCTAGATTTTTCAGAAATTTCCCCAGATTCTCGAAAAATTTCCCCAGATTTTCCAAAAATTTCCCCAGATTTTCCAAAAATTTTTGGATTTTTTAAATTTTCGAAAATTGCCCAAAAATTATCAGAAATTTTCCACAAAATTTCCAAAATGTCCTAAAATTTTCCCAAATTTTCGAAAAAATTTAAACAAAAATCCAAAAATTTCTGAAAAATCTAGGGAAATTTCTGGAAAATCTGGGGAAATTTTTAAAAATCGGGAAATTTTTGGAAAATCTGGGGAAATTTCTGAAAAATCTAGGGAATTTTTTGGAAAATCTGGGGAAATTTCAACAAATTTCCAAAAATGTCCCTAGATTTCCAAAAAATTTCCCTAGATTTTTCAGAAATTTCCCCAGGGATTTTCCAAAAATTTCCCGATTTTCGCAAATTTTTCCAAAAATTTTCCCAAATTTTCTTAAATTTTCCAAAATTTAACAAAATTTTCCAAAAATTTTCCGAAATTTTCCCGAAAATTTTACAAAATTTACAAATTTTCAGAAAATCTTCCAAAAATTTTCCGAAATTTTTCCAGAAATTTTCAGAAAATTTCCAAAAATTTTTGAAAAATTGGGGAAAATTTTGGAAATTTTTTGGTAAATTTTGGGAAAATTTTTAAAAAAATTTTGGAGAAATTTCGGAAAATTAAAGAAAAATTTCGGAAATTTTTGGAAAATTTTCTGAAAATTTTGGAGAATTTTTGAAAAATTTGTGAAAAATTTTGGAAAATTTTGGAAAATTTTGGGAATTTTTTAAAAAATTTGGGAAATTTTTGTAAAATTTTTGGAAATTTTCTGAAAAATTCTGGGAAATTTTCTGAAAAATTCTGGGAAATTTTGGGAAAATTTAGTTATATTTTTGGAAAATTTTCGGAAAATTTTGGAAAAATTTCGGAAATTTTTGGAAAATTTTCTGAAAATTTCTGTAAATTTTGTAAAATTTTCGGGAAAATTTCGGAAAATTTTCCGAAAATTTTGGTAAATTTTGGAAATTTTTTGAAAAATTTTTGAAAATTTTGGAAAAATTTGGGAAAATTTTAGAAAAAAAAAGCGAAAATCAGGGGAAATTTTTGGAAAATTTTGGAAAATTTTCGGAAATTTTTGGAAAATTTTTGGAAAATTTCTGGAAATTTTTTGGAAAATTTTGTAAAATTCTCGGAAATTTTTGGAAAATTTTTGAAAATTTTCTGAAAATTTGGGAAATTTTCTAAAATTTTTGGAACATTTGGTTAAATTTTTGGAAAAGTTTCTGAAAATTTCTGTAAATTTTATAAAATTTTCGAGAAAATTTCGGAAAATTTTTGGAAAATTTCGGAAAATTTTTGGAAAATTTTGGTAAATTTTGGAAATTTTTTTAAAAATTTTGGAAAATTTCGGAAAAATTTCGGAAAATTTTGGTAAATTTTGGGAAAAATTTGCGAAAATCTGGGAAAATTTTGGTAAAATTTTGTAAAATTCTCGGAAATTTTGGGAAATTTTTTGAAAATTTTCTGAAAATTTGGGAAAATTTTTGGAAATTTTCTGAAAATTTCGGAAAATTTTGTATTTTTTCGGGAAAATTTCGGAAAATTTTGGAAAAATTTCGGAAAATTTTGGAAAAATTTCGGAAAATTTCAGAAAAATTTCGGAAAATTTTCTGAAAATTTCTGTAAATTTTGTAAAATTTTCGGGAAAATTTCGGAAAATTTTTGGAAAATTTTGGAAATTTTTTGGAAAATTTTGGAAATTTTTTGAAAAATTTTTGAAAATTTTGCAAAAATTTGGGAAAATTTAAAAAAAAACGAAAATTTTGGAAAATTTTCGGAAATTTTATGAAAATTTTTGGGCAATTTTCGGAAATTTTTTGGAAAATTTCTGGAAATTTTTTGGAAAATTTTGTAAAATTCTCGGAAATTTTTGGAAAATTTTTGAAAATTTTCTGAAAATTTGGGAAATTTTCTGAAAATTTTTGGAAAATTTGGTTAAATTTTTGGAAAAGTTTCTGAAAATTTCTGTAAATTTTATAAAATTTTCGGGAAAATTTCGGAAAATTTTTGGAAAATTTTGGTAAATTTCGGAAATTTTTTTAAAAATTTTGGAAATTTTTTTAAAAATTTTGGAAATTTTTTTAAAAATTTTGGAAATTTTTTTAAAATTTTTGGAAAATTTCGGAAAAATTTCGGAAAATTTTGGTAAATTTTGCAAAATTTTGGGAAAATTTTGGGAAAAATTTGCGAAAATCT